GCACAGTGGAGCGTGGGTCCCACGCGTCGATGCACTCGTGGGTCGGGGAGGACACGCCGACAGGGGAGGACATGGGGAACTTCTACTCCACGGGTCGGGAGCCGCTCTTCTATAGCCACCACGCCAACATCGACCGCCTCTGGTCCGTGTGGCGCGGCCTGCAGAAGGGGAAGTCCGGGAAGTCCTCCATGGACTTCCCGAACGACCCCGACTGGCTCCGGGCAGACTATCTTTTCTACGACGAGGAGGGGCGGCTCGTGCGCGTGAACAACGCCGACACGCTGGAGACCGAGCGGATGGGTTACATGTACCAGGATGTGGCCCTCCCGTGGCTGAAGAACAGGCCGAGGCCGCGCAACAAGAAGTCGAAGGCGGCGGCATCCGCCGGAGCTCCGGCGGCGGCGGGGGTTTTCCCGGTGACACTTGACAAGGTAGTGAAGGTACTCGTGGACAGGCCGAAGAGGTCGAGGAGCAAGAAGGAGAAGGAGGAGGAGGAAGAGCTGCTGGTGATCGAGGGGATTGAGGTGGACACGGCTAGGTTCGTGAAGTTCGATGTTTTCGTGAACGACGAGGATGACAAGCCGGACGAGCTGGACAAGGCGGAGTACGCGGGTTGCTACGCGCAGGTCCCGCACAAGAACTCGATGAAGGTTAAGACTAAAATTAGGCTGGGTTTGACGGAGCTGCTGGAGGATTTGGACGTGGAGGATGACGACAAAATAATGGTGACGTTGGTGCCCAAGGCCGGGGGTGAGGACATCACCATTGGCGGTATCAAAATAATTTATGCCTCTTAATAAGCAGCGTTCGTGTATTGTGGTTCGATTAAGTATTGTAGCTTGGATGTGTTGTTTGTTGCGTTTATGGGTCGTGTCAAGTTTTGGGGATCGGGTTTGTGAGTTCGCTCCTCACACATGTTTCTTGTTGTGTTCTTTTGTGTAATAAATTTTCGCCTCGTACGTGTAATGATGGGTCGGGACTCGGGGCTATTGTGTCTATGTAATAAGTGACTTTTCTTTTCTATTATATATTTGAATTTTAGGAGAATGCTACCGACGGGATGGTTCCGTTGTCTTTTATAACCGTAAATATACATGTAATCTAATAATGTGTGGATAATCTACGTTTAAAATATACAATGGAACTTGTAAAAAATTGGGGGAAAAAACGGGTGCGGGCCGACTAACATAAAGCGCACCATGAGAAGGGAAAAACCCAGATGAAGCTCAAGTGGAGTTCCATCCCAAAACCAATTGGTGGAAGGAGGAGTAGCCCATTAGATTTATAATGTAGGTCTATTTTCCATTTATGAACGATGTGAGACAACTCACAAGTGATATTCTAACAGAACCATCTCATAACGAGATGGTAGCATTCTCCTGAATTTTAATCATCTGCCAAATAAACCCGGATGCAATGACTGGTTCTCTCTGGATCTTTGAACGTCGTCTGGCCTTCTCGTCCAAAGACATAAAAAACTGTTGGGAGAGTTCATGACGTAGAGCATTCGAGGTTTAATTCATTCACTCTGATGTAAAATAAGTGTTTAATAATGCATAAATTTGTTATGTATCAATTATGATCATACCTTTGTTTTTATAAGTATTACACATAAAAATTACTTATACATGTTTCGAGTCGGCCCACTAAAATTGGAAATATATACAACAAAAATTTGGCCTACCTCTGATAGGCCTATATTGTAAAAAGGACACTACAAAATAAACTCTTACATAACAACGAAAATTTTTCGTTTGAATTTTTTATATTTCTGTTGGAATAACTATACCGACGGATATTCCTACGTATAAAAATTCGTTGGAAAAACGACCGTTGGAATAGCAAATATCCAACAGAAAATCCTATAGAAATAAATTTCTACAGTTATTGAAAAAATCCGTTGGAATTCCTCAACTATTCAACACTTATTCCAACATAAAATTAAGTTTATTGGAATAATCATTGGAATTTTCAACGGAAATTTTTGCCATTGAAATTTTTCGTTGGAATTGTAGTGTTTTTTTGTAGTGGGAACAACCCAGAAAGCTATACTGCAAATATTGCGCCGACCTGCGCAAAATGTTAAGCGCCGATCTACAAGTCATTACCCCCTACTGAAGATTGTCGATCTTGCTACAGTGTGAATAAAAACTGACAAATCAAACTGTTAAGGTGACCGCTCTGGCGGTCCCATTGTCAAAAGACGAGTTTTGCATGAAGACGAGTGTCATTCCCCAATACCATTAACTGGCTAGTAGTAATGATTATTCTCCAACTTTTTTTTTTCTTTTTTTATATAAATTCGGCCCTTAAGGCTCATAGCAAGACAAGGGGAGATGATAAGAAAATTCTCAACAATGTCCTTTAATAAACACTTAGGTGTTTCACTTTCTTTCCTTATTGATATCTTATTTTAGAT